CCCCAAGACTAAACTCTAGGCACTTGATAATAAATTGTTGCCCCAGCTTTAGGTACAGTGACTCCCTGCCCTTCCTCCCACTCCCTTCTTCACCCTATCATCTCCCCCTTTCCTTCCTCCCATCTCCCTCTTTCCTCCCTTCCTTCCTTCATCTTCCCTCCCTTCCTTCATCCTCTTCCCTCCCTTCCTTCCTTCCTTGCTCTCCTCGATCTCCTCCCCTTCCCCAGGCGACCTATAGTTGAACAGTGATTAAGACAAGATACCTAACCTAACCTAACCTAACCAAACGCAAAGAATGGTAACACTACAAGGTACACTTATATTACTTTACCTCGTAGCCACACTACTACTACTACTACTATTACTACTGCTACTACTACTAATAATAATAATAATAATAATGATAATAAGAGTAATAATAATAGTCGTAGTAGTAGTAGTGACAACAATAATAGTAACATTAATATTAATGATAAAATAATAATAATAATAATAATAATAATAATAATAATAACACTAATAATAACCCCTTGTGTACCATGATTTAACCCCTTGTATAGCCATCATTATTCCATTGGCGGTACACCAGAGATTAATAGTAAATATACAGGCAAGACTCAGATGTGATACAGGTACCAAACAGGAACAGTGATAGGTTCTAGGCCACGATCATGAGTGGTGGTTAAAATGTCCGCTGGTCAAAACAGTTTCCTTGCTTCCTATTGTTATCATCATTATTATTATTATTATTATTATTATCATTATTATTATTATCATTATTATTATTATTATTATTTGTTATTATCATTATTACTATTTGATATTATTATTATTATTATTACCTTATTATTAATCACGTTAAAGATACACATCGGATTAATAATAATATGGATGATAACAATAATTATTACAGTAACGAAAACAACAACAACCTGGCCATTAATAAGGGCCACTAAGTGTATGAAGGTATAACTTGGCCATAGTTCCCCCCCCCCCGTGGCCCTACTAAGTCACACACACACATACACACACACACACACACACACACACACTCGTACACACACACACACACACACACACTCGTACACACATTAATTCTTGTTTATCATCTTTTGTTTACCGAGCCTTTGTTTATTCATTCACTTGTTGTCATTTTCATCACTGTCTTCTTTATACATTATCTTCTTAAATCTCTCTCTCTCTCTCTCTCTCTCTCTCTCTCTCTCTCTCTCTCTCTCTCTCTCTCTCTAAACATCAGATTACTAAACACTTCACTCTTGAATATCACACTATACGTTTCATTACACACAAGACTACTGCACACTAAACATACCAGTCACTCATTAAGACCTCACACTAAACATATCAGTCGTCTAATAAACACACTCAAAACACACACACACACACACTAGGAATGATTTCACACACGCACTATACATTAAACATTCTAGCTATCCATTAAACACCTCATTCACCTATTAAACATTCTAGTTACCCATTAAACACCTCATTCGCCCACTAAGCTCTCTACATTAATCCACTAAACATTTCAACTACCCATTAAACACTTCATTCGCCCGCTAAACATTCCTCATTCACCCCCATCCTTCCCTCCCTCCCTCCCTTCAACCCATTCGACTCCCCCATAACACACTTAACATCTCTCAGAACCTATTCATCACTACAGTACCCCATAAATAGTGTGATTAAGAGAGGCGGCTGTTGTTAATGGCACTGACCACCACCCCCACCCTCCCACCATGAGGAAGAGATGCGGGTATCTACAACAGTGGTGGGGATGGGGGAGGTGGGGGTGAAGGGGATAGGGAGAAATATGGGGTGGGAGGAAAGATGGGGTGGGAGGAAAGATGGGGTGGGGGAAGAATGTGGTGGTGAGTGAAAGGAGGTGGAGGTAATGTGGGTGGAAGGAGTTGAAGATGGTGGGTGGAATGGAGGTGGTGGGTGGAATGGAGGTGGTGGGTGGAAGGAGAAGGTGGTGGGTGGAAAAGTTGGTGTGTGGAAGGTGGTGGAGGGGGGGGTGAAGAAACTATAGCAACAATACTTTCTAATGTTCGGAACACCTGGAGGGACGGCAGGAGGGGTGAGGGGGGGGGCACTGGGACCCCTGAGGGCACGGAAGTTAGCCCGGTGTGATGGTGGGCACAGACGGTGGTGATAAATGAACCCTTGCAAATTCTACATGGTGATAGTGTTCTTGTTTGTTTGTTTTTGTTGTTGTTGTTGTTGTTGAGGATATTAACGTTAATGTTAATATTGTTGTTGTTCCAGATGTTAAAGACTGATGAGGTTAATATCACCGTTGTTAATGATGTTACTGTGTGTGTGTGTGTGTGTGTGTGTTCTATGGTGTAAGTATAGTACACAGCCCAGCCTCACCCTACACACACAACACTTTTGTTTCAGGTGTGTGGGTGCGCGCCGCTTCCCACATCAGGGCCATGCAGGGTGCAGGTGACCGCTCCCCGCCCCTGTGAACACTTTTAATCCCTGGGCGAGCTGGTGGTGGTGGTGGTGCTGCAGGAATCAATATCCCGGGGAGGTGAGCGTCCTCAAAACCTTGCACACAGCCATTTCTCTTATCCTGGGGCGGGGAGACGCTACCACCACCACCAACTTGCACTTGAGGGGTGTCTCAAGGGCTAGATGCTTCCGCTCCAGTGGCCGCTTATCCCCCTGACCTCCTAACCCCATTCCATCTGCACCCCCTCCCCTAAACTACAGGTAGCTGATTGACAGGTGTTCAGGTAAAGAAGACACATGGTATCCTGGAGGCCTAATTTTTGGTCGGGACGAATTAGGTCTTTCCTCTACTGCGGCTGACGGTGAATTATGCAAATCATTATCTCGAGCCTCGGGGGTAACCAAGCTACCTGACCTTGCTTATAATGGCACGGAATGGCACGGTTCTGTAACACTTAACACTCGCTCGGTTGTGTTCTAAAGAGAAAACTCCAAATGCCAGGAGTCGAAATATTGAAAAGCCAGAAATGTGCACAAAGATTTTAAAACCCACAGTAAATATACATGAATTTAAAAGCATTGTTAACTATTTCATCTCCCTCTGATTCTATACACTTAAATAGACGCACACTCACAACCATCTCCCCTTGATCACTCACAACCATCTCCCCTTGATCACTCACAACCATCTCCCCTTGATCACTCACAACCATCTCCCCTTGATCACTCACAACCATCTCCCTTGATCACTCTGGCCACCTCCCTTGATCACTCCACAGCCACCTCCCTTGATCACTCCCAACCATCTCCCTTGATCACTCACAACCATCTCCCTTGATCACTCACAACCACCTCCCTTGATCACTCACAGCCATCTCCTTGATCACTCCACAACCATCTCCCTTGATCACTCTAGCCATCTCCCCTTGATCACTCCACAGCCATCTCCTTGATCCTCACAACCACCTCCTTGATCACTCTATACCTCCCTTGATCACTCACAACCACCTCCCTTGATCACTCTGTCCCTCCCTTGATCCTCCCCAGCATCTCCTTGATCCTCCTAGCCATCTCCCTTGATCACTCACAACCACTTCCCCTTGATCACTCACAACCACCTCCCCTTGATCACTCACAACCACCTCCCCTTGATCACTCACAACCACCTCCCCTTGATCACTCACACACAAATAGACACACACACACACACTAAATACTTTATATCTCGGGCAGGTGCATAAATTTCAACAAATATATAGGGACATATACATCTCGGGGCTATACCGGGCTATACACACTCTCATCCCCAACACGTAAAGGGCTGTTGAAGAAGGTGCTATATTGTAGGTATACATGTATCATCTAAAAACCTCAAAAGATATGCTAAAAAAAATATATGTAGAATCAGTGACATTCCCAATATGATACAGCAGCATCAGTCAGCCATACTGTATTATCTTGTATCTTATTAAGTAGTACTGTAATTCCTTCCTTCCTTCAGGCTATGATATTGTGTTCATTTACCGGGTAATTTAATCTCTTTCAACTTTCTTACTTTCACTTCCCACACTCTTCTACTCCATCCATCTACACTTCTTCTTTACTTTAAGTACTTTCACCGTCAAACTTTTTCCTGTTGGGTGATCTTACAACACAGTAAAGCATTTTTTCCCTGAATAAGATACGATTATTTACCATTTTTAGTAGTAGGTATCACTCGGTACTGCAAAGACTTTTTTCCTTCTATGATTACAAAAAAAATAAATAAATAAATAATCATAAAAAAAAAAATAACTTTTTTTTTTAAGGGGAAAATCACAATATTGTAGGTGATAACTTTGCCGCGTCATCTGTCAATAATACTGAACCAGGGAACACAGCCAGATGACATACTATTTACTGTTACAAGGACGACCATGCAGCTTCCCTAAACGTGAGGAAATGTACAGCACATGAACATAACCAACGCTGACTCAGGGCTCACAGCATCACGTATCTTATTATGAAGTACATGACAGTTTTAAATTACTACCAGAAAGTAAGAATTAAAACACATACTAAACACTGAAATCTTAATTAAGGAGACGCAACACACACTAAGTTCCTCCACACAACACAACCATCCAAGTTTTAACCATAAACCAACTAACACCTCACAGCATCATTAAACCACTCCACGTTTATTGTTGTTACTGACGCTAAAATAAACCTTCATTTCTTTCTGATCATTATTCACAACACAAACGTATCCGTATAAATAATTTTTCCTGGTATGATAGAATTTCTAATTTTGTTTACATAATGATTTTTTCCTCCTTTGAAATCATTCCTAATGCTGTAATACTTATGTTACCAGTATTTCAGTTTTGTATCAATTTTTTCTTTATGTATCAACACAAACCTGCTTCGAAATGTTAACTTGTTCGGCTACAGTATAATACAAAACAAAACCATTTTTTTAATATCTCCCAAGTGTTTTTCTTCTCTCCTTCAATAAACAGCTGAAAAAAAAAAAGCCATCACACATAAACACTGCCCGCCACCACAACAAACGTCAGCTGGTACTCACTGGACTTGTGAGAAGCTTCGGAGTGTTCCGGCGTGGAGCCTCGACTATAGACACGAACCGGGTCCGTCGGTAACGAGTCGAGTGACGGAGCCCGGCTGGTTCGGTTGCTTCGGATACTTGCGGAACTGTGGGGAAGAAAGAGAGAGAACATAAAATACAGATTCATAAATAGGAATTATAGGAAATAATAAATAATCAAATGGAAGTGGAGAGTGTCTGCTTCGGATCCTGATGTACCTGTGAGGTGAAAACATTAACGGCCATATTATTGAACAACATCTTCCCTTGAAGAATATCTTCATGTCGAAAGCCGTATTTTTAAATGCGAAGAACCTTTTACTGCAGCGCACGAATGAGTGTGGTGGCATGAAAACGAACTAATTGTACCTAACTTTGAAGAGGTGGCTATGAGCTGCTCTTCGTCACCCTCTTCATAATTATTTTGTTAGTTTTATTGAATATTTATAGTCAACACGATTAATGCACAAAGAAACACGTATTAGTAATTTTACAAATGTATTTTTTTTACATTATTGGTTTTACGGCCCATATTAAGACAGTGCAAAAGTTGTGTCCCCTGTCATATTACGACTTTCGTAAAAGCTGTGCTGCCTGTCAATTTGTTATTGCCAAAGGCAAGCTGCTGGAGTCATCTCATCTTACTAACGCTAGTACTAATCGGGTAAGCACATTTACGGTAATTTATTAAACTTTTTAGCAGTTTTATAAGTGACGTTCTTGCCTAGACATATTCCAATGGATAGAGGCAAATTTCACTGGGAGAAAATCATCTCAAAACTTTATGTTGCATATATTAATAAAGTAAGTCCATTTAAGTTACTTAATGCAACTTTTTAGCAGTTTTATAAGTGAGTTTCTGTTTTGAAAATATAAACTGGCGTCGTTCTTGCCTATAAATATTAATATGGATAGAGGCAAATTTTACTGAGAAAATAGTGTCCAAACCTTATGCTGCATATATTAATAAATTAAGTCCATTTAAGTTACTTACTGCATCTTTTTAGCAGTTTTATAAGTGAGTTTCTATCTGGAAAATATGAACAGGGGAGGTTTATGCCTAGAAATATCAAAATGGGTAGAGGCAAATTTCACTGGGAGGCCATTATCACAAGGATGGTATAATATTACATACAAAAACACCTTTGATACAGTGGATCATGATATAATATGTGAAATACTGCAGGCTCTAATTTTTCATCACCAATTACATTATTTCGTTTAGGTAAACTTCCATTTGGCTGAATTAGGAGCATAATAAAACAAGTTCACTGGAAGATGGAGTTTGATTATTTAATGAAAATGTGCCTTTAGCATATATGATACAATATTTTGGCTAATATAGAGGACTTCACAGCAGCTTCCCCCGTCTCAGTAATAGTAAGTTCGCCCACGGCAAGTGATAATTTATGCTAGGTTAGGTTAAGGTTAGGTTAACTTAACTTTAACTTATAAATACTGTAACACTTTTTCCAACATTTGCCATCAATACGACCATCTCACTATAAAACATATTGATATTGCGGCGTTTATAAATTTGTTTTCTCTGAAAACACAAATTTTTAACCTAAGACAATATAATAAAGGCATACCAGCCCTTAAAGGCCATTTACTATTATTTTATGCATTACTGTACATTATTATTATTTTTAAATTACATTGGAAACATGTGGAAATTTATATTTCCCCAGTGTTTGAGAACCCTGCAAAAAAGTATACTGTAAATTTAACATCTAAATATTTAGTCTCCCGATCTGGGTTTTGTTAACGTAGGATAATGTATATAAAAAATAAATAAACAAATAGTTACAACTGCTTCTTACTTTTAGGGAACAAATATATTTTATATTTCAACAGGATGGGAGAGTACACGCGGGTTGTATCTTCACGTATAAGTTTCCGTTGGAGTAATTCATCTCACCAAAACATCAACAACAGCAGTTAAGATGCACTAATAGTAATAATTATGATTCAAATCTTCACTCTTAAGTATTGCTGGTGAGCCACACAGCTCCTCACCGCCTCTAATACCAGGGATTTCAGGTCCGTCCAGCCCCTTGAAAGCTGAAGAGGTCTAAGCTCTTCAGCGTGCATTCTCAGTCACCGCCTTGACTATTATTTTTTTGTCTTGTTCAAAGAATGTAGTAAACATTCTATTATTTAAGGTGTTTAATATGTGCTCTAAGGCACTGTGTATTAAAATAAATTTAAGGGTGGCAACTTCAGTACTCATAAAATTTTATTTACGCTGACGTTCAAGAAAGATCGCGTGCCTCAAAACTGAAGGACTGATGATACATGCAACAACTTGTATATTATGTGAGGCCCTTTAATTAATATAACTTAAACTACCCTCACAAGCACTAGAGTAGCAATTTTCTATGACTGCCACTAACGACGACCAAAGAAAATGGAACTGTTTATAACAGCGACTCACTCATTCTCGCCTTACATCACGAGTGACGTGTTTAATAACACGAATGACAGTTTTGACATAAGATACAGTTAACACTTACTTACATAACTACTAAAAATAAAACGATGCACCAATCGTACAGTTCATCATGGCTGTCGATTTTAATCATCAGATGGCGACTTTTGCACAAACGTTATGGAAGAAATGTTGCTTTATCCTTTTCGCCACTGATCGGCTTGTTAGCTGCTTGGGCGATTGACCACATCTACTGAATATTACGCACTGTTGGCTGACTCCAGAGTGTATCTGTACTACTGTTGATCAAGTCTGTCCTGAATGAGCTCACTCGGTACCGTCACAACGCCCTGGCAGATTGTTCCAATAGTTTACAACCCTGATCTTGCATCTTACTCTATTCTTGGGGAAAATCCTAAAACCTGTCACCTACAAACGGTCTTCTCAATACCACCACACCTTCCCAGACAATCCTCAAGTATGGTTAGGTTACAGGGGGAAGGAGACCGCCCCCTTCCCCAATAGAAAAAATATATTTTAATTTGTCAAGATTTTGGATTCATGTTCATTAACCAACATTAAATTTAGATGACATGACAAAACACCCAGATTCACCAAGAAATGAAAACAGAGAATGACCTTGACACTTATTATCATGGCGCCATATTTATACTTTTGAGGGTTGGCGACCACAGCCCTCCTCACCAAACATTTTTAGACGGTCAACAATTCATACTCTGATTTTCTTAACTTTCCAGGGACCGATAAATCAATTTCATTCATCCATCCCTTCCTCTTCCTTCCCTCAATCAAGCTCTTATCCTCAATTTCACCCATCAATTTATCCTACAAAATCCACTCACCACTTACTATTTCCCAGAGGCACAATTCTTCTTCCCATTCTAAGAAACTCAAGTCCAGTAATGTTGTTCTAATCAATCTTAGCAACTTTATTTGTTTTCGTACCGATATAACTTCTCTCCACCAGACTCCTGCATCACCACCACACTTCAAACTCTTCTAACCTGTCACGCCACCCACCACGCCTCTGAACCATCATAAACACTTACTATACACTATATTTTAGGAACCTCTTTTCACAAACTAAAATTAACATCCCTTGTAATGAAAGATATGAGATTATTTATGCAGATGTTAACAAAATATTACATCAAGATTCTATTCCTTTCTGAAATTAAATAACGGTGTCTGTCGAGGTGAGGTTAGGTTAGGTTAGTTAGATATGGTTTACTTAGGTTATGGTTAGGTTAGGCTAGGTTAGGTTAGGCTAGGTTAGGTTTGTTAGATATGGTTTATTTAGGCTATGGTTAGGTTAGGCTAGGTTAGGTTTGTTAGATATGGTTTACTTAGGTTATGGTTAGGTTAGGCTAGGTTAGGTTTGTTAGATATGGTTTACTTAGGTTATGGTTAGGTTAGGCTAGGTTAGGTTTGTTAGATATGGTTTACTTAGGTTATGGTTAGGTTGGGATAGGTTAGATTATTCAGATAAGGTTTAGTTAGGTTAGGTTAGCATTGAAATGTCTAACCATCAGGTGAAATAAGCAAATGTTCCTAATCTTCAAGAGATACACAGGAACTCCGCACTGACGTCATAAAAATGTACAGTAATTTCCACCACCCGTCACACCAACCCCCCACTGAAGCCCCAGTCTACAGAAACTCTTCATCCATACAGGAACACAACCGGAATCTATATGTGTTGTTGACCTCGTTTGACCGCTAATTTTATGACACTCTACGTAAAACAGTTATTCATATTGAAGCACAGTCAGCCGTGTGTTGTTGCTGTTCCAGTATTTATGAGGTAATTCTGGCTCTGTGGGGATAAATTCTACGCGTGTGTGGATAGTTCAACCCCCCTGCCATGGTGTGTGTGTGTGTGCAAATATATTTGTTTTTATCAGTAGTGTTACGTGCAACGTAGGAGAGAACAACCCTTAACAACGCTCTCTCCACCCTGGGAATGCCATCCCTCAGTGACCTCCACCACCAAGCACTAGCAAGGTTTGACAGTGGATTATTGCACCATCCTCGTCATCGCCACCTCCTGCCACCTGCTGTCCCCCGCCCACCTCGCGCAGTCCGCCACTACAACAAAATTCAGCCCATAAGAGCCCGCACTGATAGATATAAGAACAGCACCATCCCATCTATTGTTAAAATAATAAACAACTCCTGATTTATGTACTGTACAGCCCTGTAAATGTATTCACTGCATATTATATCATTATGTCTAAATCAAATGTAAGTCTGTATATTTACAGCCACCGGCTGCAACTCTATTAATAAACCGTTTATTATTATTATTATTATTATTATTATTATTATTACATGCATGCATACAACACACACACACAAGGAAACATTCAAAGAAACACACATGCATGCATACAACACACACACACAAGGAAACATTCAAAGAAACACACATGCATGCATACAACACACACACACAAGGAAACATTCAAAGAAACACACATGCATGCATACAACACACACACACAAGGAAACACACATGCATACTAATTCTCTCTCTCTCTCACACACACACAAGAGGAAGGAGCGAATTGCAATATCCTCTTTCACCTTCACCTCAAGAAACCAACAGTACCCAAGACACACACTACCTGCTACAATATAATGATCTCGTTGCCTGTAACCGGAACGCAAAGAAACAAACCCCTTGCATGAGTAGTCCCAGAGCACCACGCGACCTCTGTTGTGCCTCAGTCAGTCCTTTTACGACTCACCAAGGTCTTAGAGATGTGTAATTAACTGCAACTCTTAGCTTATTATAAAGATTGGGATACGTTGTCACCTCGTCAATTGCAGAAGAGTTTGGTATAATTTGCAAAATTACACTCGTCAAAATCATTGTGTTTATGAAACTTCTCACTTACAATGAATTTCTTGCTGACTGACAACTAGATAATCTGCCAAGTTATCGTCGAGTGATTTGACATTCACCAAAATCATAAAATGATTCGATATTCAACAACATCACCTTCACGGCGTCACATCAGAACAAACAATCCAGGTCACATGAACACGATCAGTAAAAAACGAGTCGATAATCGCCCAAATAATTATCTACTAATCTGATGCGCGACAAAATCACCCTCAACTGAATCGTCATTCGCCAAATTCAGTCGATATTCTCCCAAAATCCTTACAAAGTGAAATTTACACCAACAACAATAGGCCACGACTAAAACTGATCCAGGAAAACTTGTATACAAAGTCACAAGTTGAATTTCTTGATCTAGTTGTTTAGTTAGGGAGCAACTCTCTCGGTCACTCCCCACAACACCGTCTAGACAAGCTGGGTGGTGGTGGTGTGGGAGTGGTGGTGGTGTGGGAGTGGTGGTGGTGGGGGGTGGTGGTGTGGGAGTGGTGGTGGTGGTGTGGGAGTGGTGGTAGTAGTGGTGATGGGGGTGGGAGTGGTGGTGGGGTGTGTGATAGGGGTTGTGCTCCTCCCCCTAAACTGTCTCCAGTAACGAGAAATTTATTGCTTGTCTCTTAAATAAATAAATCAGTGTCAAACCCTAGTGTCGGGTTAATGTGTTCAGATTATATCACTCTACGTTTACATCAAAATCTTTTTGTCTTATTCTTGTTAACGAGAGCTTAATACACACACACACCAACCTTACATGATCACTTAATTCTCCTGTAGTTCGATTTCTACCTGATGAAAGTCTTAATTAGATAACATTAAAAAACTATTTATGTTGAATTAAATCCTCACATAGCTTTATCTATAGTTAATGTAATCGCTCATAGGAGCGATTTTGGTTTGTGCAGGACAATAAGACCCTTGTCGTTGACGCGATGAGTATAATTCCCGTCAACGACAAGGGTCTTATTGTCCTGCACAAACCCAAATCGCTCCTATGAGCGATTACAGTCAAAACGTTTTGGGGTCTAGGGTCAGACCAACGAAAACAAATATAATATCCTACAGGAAAATATTGGCTCACGAGAATCCAGATGTTGTCTTTACAGTAGAAGGCGACAGACTGTCCCTCAGGCAGTCACACAGCTGCTACCAGCTCCATCTGGCTACTCTGAGTTGTAAACAGTCTTCACTAAACACGTGGCCGGCGAGCACAATTTGTGCGTGGCGATAACAGTTAATAAAGTTTGTTTACTATAAAAAAAAATCTCTCTCTCGTAGTATAATACTGTATATGCAGGTATAGACAAAAATATATAACCCAGTCCTTCCTTTATTCTACTCCAACTTAAGGCCTAAATCCTGCCCAGAGCTTATTATAATGGAGAAAGCCTCTTATCTAACTCCGGCTTGACTTTAAGACCAGGAGACCTCCCTTCCTCTCCTTATATACGGTACTAGAAGCTCATCCATCCACTTTACTGCCAAACTCTTCTTGTCTCTAAGTTAAACTATATCATTCTCTACCATTAATATATCCTAACCTTTAATTTTATATCATAACAGTAAGCTACAACACTTAACACAACAAGGACCCAAAAAATTTCCTTCAACATCGTTTCCAGTTTCCACTCCTGCCAACGGGGCCGTGCATATACATTATTTCTCGTCGGTTGTATATACGAGAGAGTAACTTAGTGTTTTATATTGTGATGTCGTGTATTATGTGACCTTGACGGTGTGTTCTAATGTAACGCTGGTGATGGCCACACAATTCTTAACCCCTTTAAACTACCGAGTCATACACCGGACTCTCCAGTGAAAGATGATTTTATCTGGCGGCCAAAAAGGCTTCAACAATGTGTGTGTCTGTGTGTACTCGTGACGGCGCCAAGTGTTTTGTATCATATAACCGAACTACTGCACCTGCCTTATGCAGCGTCAATTTGCTTCTCGCAGACAACCTTCATCAATTCTATCCTTCCAAATGATCATATTCAACTGTGAAAATTATCAGCTGCCGTTAACAGCCTTGGACGCTGTTACTGGCACTGCTCACGTTACTCTGGTAATTTCCACGCACGCATACTACAGGTCTGCACATCATCGTTAACTTAAAATATAAATGACGGTGTTTGAAGAATATTAAATTTCCATCTTGGGGTTTTCTCGTTCTTTGCAGTAAAAAACAACTCTGTGATTAAAAAAATACACATTCATTTATCACACCAGACATGAATAAGGAAATACATAATAAAAAAGTCAGGATATATATATATATATATATATATATATATATATATATATATATATATATATATATATATATATATATATATATATATATATATATATATATATATATATATATATATATATATATATATGGGACAATTTACGCAGTACTGTTGTCTCTTGGAACACCATACTGATTTGCATTGACCCGCACTCGTAAGTACAGCCTAAGTGATGACATACCCCTCGGTACTGAAATATCGTTGACTAATTACATGTACTCGTTTCTGCCTTATCTGGAGTAATAAGACAATGCAGAATGAAGCGTAGCTAATATTAATAGAGTTATGAACATTGTGCTATGTCACTATGTTTAATAAATTGTAATTAAGATAAAATTGTGACACTAACTAATTATGTATCAGATGGATCACAATGTAATAATATGAACAACTTCTCCTCTGCAGATTTTGACCACATCAATAAATATTGAATGCGTCAATAGGCGAGTTTCAATCATTCCCTTCGATTTGCCCGTCACCTGAACGTCCTTAACCAAGGCGTTTACAATTATTATATATATTTCGGCCAGGGAGGTACTACCGCCTGGGAAGATATTGGAAGCATAATGTGTTGTCTAATGGTAGACCCTGCTGCCATATGTGACCAAGTCTCAGGTTGGTGATCTGACTTTCTGCCTCATTTACACACAGTTGCAGGTCTCAATTGTTTCTCTTACTCTGACAACACAACATACATAGGAATATCGTTTCTCACTATTAATCTTTCTTTTTTATTTATTTTTGTTAATTTATCGTCCTTTATTATTATTAGTAGTAGTATATATTATAATTTTAAAATTTTTATTCATGATTATTATTATTATTATTATTATTATTATTATTATTATTATTATTATTATTATTATTATTATTATTATTATTATTATTATTATTATATTTTCACCCCCAGGCCCTGACGTGGGTCATAGACCTGTGCCCTGGTGGGCCAATCACGTTAAAAAAAAAAATAAATAAATAAATAAAAAATAAAATAAATAAAATAAAGGTCATATGACCTTCCATAACCTTTTATATACAAGTACAGAGAGGCGCCACACCTTAGATCTGCAAAGTTTATTATGAGAGGAAGAAACGAATATCTCATTACATCAAAGACAAAAATATCATCCGCTTCAATCTACGTAATTATAAGGTGAAATCCAAGCTATTAAAAACTATTATTAACATACGATCGGTTGCATGAATCAAGTTACAGTATAGTATTAAAATCGTGAACTAAGATATCGTATCACAAAGTGCTTACGTGAGCAGGACCAACCTCTCCTAACCTAACCAAGGTGCAATCACCACATGATATTTGCCGATCAACGCCATAAACTTATCCACCACACAATTCAATAACTACAGAGTACTGTACTCACCTTCTCTTCCTGTCCCCTCTGGCCTGGCTTGCCCGTCTGGCAGCCACGGCTGCGTTCGCCGCCTGTCGTTCGCGTCGTTCCCGCCGTTCTCGCCTCTCTTGTCGGATTCGCTCAGCCTGGGGTGACAGCTGGGTCTGGATCATGACTCCCTCCATCAGTCGGCTCTTCACCTCTTTGACCTTGGGTCGCACTTTATCTTCCTTCTGACCCTCAGCAATCTTGTTCATGACCTCATCCCAGCGGTTCTTACGAGGCTGGCGCGGCCGTCGGCATTCCTCGTTCGTATGTTCCTGGGCCTCCAACAGTGCCTTCAGTTTAGACTGAACATTTTTTTTGGGCATCGGCGGCGGCGGTGGCAGTTGTTTGCGAATTTCTTCCTTTTTCTTGGGTGGAGGCGGGCGCGACAGCCAAGGTTTGTCGTAGGTACGAGGTTTAAGGGATTGCTGAGCCTTGACACCGTCCTCACCTCCTTCTACTGAAATACCAGAGTCCGTCAGTTTGGGGTCTATAGTGGGTGCTGATGTGCCATCCTTGTTCTTGGTCACTGAAGACACCCTCGAGTCACATGACGAGCTGGAATTATTAGCCGGCGAGGGAGAGTTTTGCTTGGTGTCGGTAGATGACTGTGTGTGGTCTTGTTGCTCGCTTAGTGTCAAGTCTTTAGACTCAGGCCGTAGTGTGCTGGCGGAGCTTCTGTCTTCCTCATCTATGGTATAACTTCCTTCTTTTTCCTCAATCAAATCGTCTTTCAGGGAATGGTCGTCAAAAGTGTGGTCGTAGCGAGTGCTGTCGTCGTTAGTATGGCTTTGGTCGTCGAGGAGAGAGTCATGAAGGTTGGAGTTACCGAGAGCCTCCTGGACTGGCTCCAGATCCGTCCTGGCACTCTCGTCCTCAGCGTCTCGGTCACGAGGGTCAAGATCAGAGTAAAACCCAGATGAATCCATCTCCGAGGTGTTGTTGTCGTGTGCACGGCCCAGCTCTCTGTGACTGTGGTACAACTTTCCGTCAATGATCCTTGCTGTTCTGTCCCTCGCCGTCACGTTCCCGTGATGGTCTGCCTCGCCCTCGTCATCAGCTAAACTAACATCCGCTTCCGTCAGTCTCTCTACGTCGATGACTCCTTGGAAGAGTCGGACGTCTTCTGTAGGAGATGAAGCTGTTCCAGTGCCACCCTCGGAGCGTGGATCACACTCAGCATCGCCTTGGTAACCTTGGTCTAAACTACCGGCGCTGGTAGTCATGGCTGCTGCTGCAGCGCCGCTCCATGCGGCCTCAGTATCAGGCGTCATTTCTGGAACCGCTGATGCCAGGAGAAGCCGAGCTGTCAGTGGTGCCACGCGTCGAGCCATTGAGGATAACCGTGAGAGGTCGACGTTTACCGATACCTCTCGTAGTTCGGGAATAGTCTGGCACTCCTGCTCTTCAACAATTTGGTTAAGAACTTCCCTTTGAAGTTCTTTACAAGTCTTGAGTGATGCTTTCTTATCCTCTTCGTCCTCTTGCTTTTGCTGTTGCTCAAGTTCTTCTTCGTCGTGCTGGAACTGTTCGGTTTCTGGGGAAGGATGTGGTCGTGAAGGAGAGCTGCCACCAGACGAACTAACTTCTGCAGACGTTCGTAGTTCCCTTATAATGGCGGACACATCGTTCTTGAACAACTCTTCGTCGACCCCAGTCACACTCGGGTCTGAGTCCCACCGTAGAAGCGGAACCATTGATGACGCCTCTCCCCGTCCTGAGGCTTCTGCGGGGAGAGACGCGTCACAAACCTCGTCCTCCAGGGCTGCAACGTCTTCGTCTGACGGTGATCTACCAAAGGATGCTGATGCCGTGACAGTAAAGTCTGGCATCTGGTCAGGGGTCAAAATGCCTAAGGAAGACTCGTCGCAAGTGGCATCTTCAGGAGAGCCCAAACTGGCGACGTCATCTTCGTGGTCGTCGTGGCCTGTAGTTCTTTTAGTCTGTGTAAACTCTCGAGGCTGCAGGGAGTCCTGACTCTCCGGGGAGGTTGGAAGAGAAGAGTCACGTCCCTCGATGGTGTAGGTGGCATTCGATGCGTCAGATGGCCGACGCCTAGTGGGGTTTGCTTCCTGAGAATGGATTGAGGACGGCATTAAGCCTTGCCAGACCGAACTTTGACTGGTGTTTCTGGTGCTTAAGGACAAACCATCATCGTCTCCGATATAATCAAGGTCTAGGAATACTTTACCGGCAGGTGCGAAAATACCAAAACCTGGGCGACACGAAAAGTATATAACACCGTCTACCGAACCGTCATTCTTCCCCACCTGTCGCTCCAACTCTACGCCGCACCACTCGCCCGGAGAGAAGGCAGTTCTGCCATAGTAACGCAGAGTTCCATGTTCGGCTCCACCGACAACGACTCGTCTGCCAACACTCTCCCGGGACAGGTGAGTGGATGGTGGTTCAGTCGCTGACACAGAATGGAGAGGACCGTCCCAACAGGACCGGGGGCCGCGTATACTGGTCACGCGGTAGATGAGGCACGGATCACTCACGTCTTCGTTGGACCCTCGTGTGATCTTTGCCAGCTGTCTAGAGAACGCAGATTCCGTTGACGCTTTGAGTCCCCTGAGGCCGCTCTCGTGGCTTTCCCTGCTCCATGGTAGCTTCTCTTCCGGCCAGATGTCACTACTGCCGTACTGAAAGTTGAGACGGCTGGTGTTGGAGCCTGGTCGTTGAGCACGACGGTTCTGGGCCGGCTCCGGCAGCTCACTCTCAGATAGACGACCAACTTTAGCAGAGGCTATTCTCAGCCGAGGCGCCGCCGCCTGAGGGTGATGGAGGGAATTCCCCTGAAGGTGTGCGGGGTTGGCTATTATTTCCCTGGAGTCCTCATAGGAGGGGGAGGTCTGAGACAATGTGAGTGGGGCGGGGCCAGGATTGTAGTGCAAGGGGCCCAGCTGCAGCTGAGACGACGCTGCTGAGGTGGGCCGAGGAAGGCCCGACCGCCGCACCGTCGGGATGCGACTCTCGCCCGGGGCCTGTAACAATAGAGACGACAGGTGTTAGAAGAGCATTAAATGACTAATGTACATAAACACAAATATCCTTGTAATAATATAATTTAATGTATTATTATGAAACCACAAACAACCCCGCCAGGTGTGTGCAACAGGGGGAGAAAACAACAGTACAGTACAGAGCGGAGGTATAGGGTGTCGCAACAATGGTCTGCAACAACGGAAGGAAAGAGCGAGTCATTATCATATAACGAAAGACAACTACAAGGACAAGGTTTATAAGTCAGGAAGAACCACAACAGAACCACTCATATGTGGGTGTGACGGAGGTGTGGTGTGGGTGTGACGGAGGTGTGGTGTGGGTGTGACGGAGGTGTGGTGTGGGTGTGACGGAGGTTGTGGTGGGTGTGACGGAGGTGTGGTGTGGGTGTGACGTGGTGTGGGTGTGACGGAGGTGTGGTGTGGGTGTGTGGTGGGTGGACGGAGGTGTGGTGGGTGGACGGAGGTGTGGTGTGGGTGTGACGGAGGTGTGGGTGGGTGTGACGGAGGTGTGGTGTGGGTGTGACGGAGGTGTGGTGGGGTGACGGAGGTGTGGTGTGGGTGTGACGGAGGTGTGGTGTGGGTGTGACGGAGGTGTGGTGTGGGTGACGGAGGTGTGGGTGTGGGTGTGACGGTGGTGGTGTGGGTGTGACGGAGGTGGTGTGGGTGTGACGGAGGTGTGGTGTGGGTGTGACGGAGGTGTGGTGTGGGTGTGACGGAGGTGTGGTGTGGGTGTGACGGAGGTGTGGTGGGTGTGACGGAGGTGTGGTGTGGGTGTGACGGAGGTGTGGTGGGTGTGACGGAGGTGTGGTGTGGGTGTGACGGAGGTGTGTGTGTGTGGGTGTGACGGAGGTGTGGTGTGGGTGTGACGGAGGTGTGGTGTGGGTGTGACGGAGGTGGTGGGTGTGACGGAGGTGTGGTGTGTGATGTGTGGTGTGGGTGTGACGGAGGTGTGGTGTGGGTGTGACGGAGGCGTGGTGTGGGTGTGACGGAGGTGTGGTGTGGGTGTGACGGAGGCGTGGTGTGGGTGTGGCGGAGGCGTGGTGTGGGAGTGGCGGAGGCGTGGTGTGGGAGTGGTGAAAGGTGTGGTAGGAGTAACGAAGGTTTTCATAACAACAAAGTGATGAAATACATTATAAAATCAACAAGATCTTATTTCATCAATATTCATATAATCTTAATTAACTTTTGTCCTAATATTCCACATCACATTTTAAAAGTTCAATGATCTTGTACTAAAAAATGTTAATAGCATTATAAATTCCTCCCCCCAGAACACGGTTATGCATATTATCATGGCTTAATAACGTTCAATAATATCACTGTCATTAATATTGGGAATATTTTTATGCTTTCAATATTACCAGTAATTATGATGCTATTAATACAGCTCTTTTCTTATCATGGAATTCTAATATCTGCGACACACACACACACTGCAAGTGCATCCAGCCCATATGAGCACGTACTGATCGCTGTAAGAACAGCCCAGTCCCAACCATTGTATAAATTATCAACAACTCTTAGTTAACCAGTGTGTTTACTCCCAGCCAATCTTACTTTTGCTCTGTCACTATGTTAAACATGCCCTGTTTATTTTCAGCCTTTTGGCTGCTATGTTCTTTCAATAAACCGTTAAATATTATTATAACACACGTTCACTAATAGATTATGTGAAATCATGTACAAACATTTTTCTCCTCAAAATTAACACCACAGCTGGACATTCGTGGTAAACATTATATAATCCGATTTTTTTTCCTGAAACAACATACCAACATAGTTCTGACCTTGATCAGATAGAGATATAAATCTTCATTCAGTAAACTCGTCATACAAGTTCATACTGGCTGTACTTCTTCAGGTATGGTTTACACTTCAACTTCATCAGCTGTAAAATCTGGCGTGTGATATTTTCTCTGTTGTCGAGTTTCCTTAACCTCCTGGACGACGTGTGCATACTTGGCCGAGGTCCTTTGCACCTCGCTGGATGGCGTATGTTTCTCGTCAGTATAGTGAACCTTTATGTGCAGGGAGCGTATTGTCATCCATCACTCCCACAAGCTCCCTGAAGCTCTTTAATGGTGTCTCTCACGCTCCTAACAGACACGGCCACTGACGCCACATCTATACAAATAATGTGTAACTTGATAACCCTTACCACTCGTCAGTCTGTTGCACGTGGTTCGAGTGGACACATTAATGTGGCAGGAAAAATGTACAGAATATCCTTGATGAGTTCAAATCTGACTTAACATCATTTCCCTACACGGGTTGGGCCATGAAGACCTGACGAATCCTTCTTTGTTATACTATCAAACGATCTAATAAGATGTTTTTGTTTAGTGTGTTGAACACTCAGTAGGATGTCATCATGATACTGTCTGGATACCCAAACTAATGTTGCCAACGTCTTGCAAGTCCTTTATTTCATCCTTGCAAGGCTCTAAAATACAATGTTAACAGATCTCAGTTTATGTCTTTTACCCAATGAGAAAAGAAATAGAGAAGATAAAATAAGGATTAGTGTTCTCCGCAGTCCGTTCGGGAATTTTAACGTTCGTCTGTGATCTAAAACAAACCAAGCGCCCCTTATTGCCCAGTGTTGCTACGCGGACACAGTACTGTACAGTAATGTGGGTCAAGAGAGCCCAACATGTTGACAGCCTGTTTATGATACTTTATGATAGCGCCTACTACCAGTGGTTGGCGGAGCCCCGTGATGACTCGCACAGTGTAATGAAAAACAAACAAACAGAGAACATCAACATAAAGCGAACCATTGTGTGAGTATGATGATATAGATTATATATAAGTTTTAATTACTTAAGGTAAGCTGCAGCAAGAGACACTCATCATATCTCGTGCTCCCCAATAGGTACACGAGGGTGAATTCTGAGCCGTTCGTATTATTTAGGTTCTTAGTAGCGGAAGACGTACAAAATGCGCCTAAGTATCCGAATAAGGTGTAAACACAAAAATAATGTAAAAAAAATATAGAACAAATAAAATCTTGGGGATAGAACTAAGGTAGAGAGAGGATCATTTACCTTAAGGTTATCTACAATAATTTTGTCTTCCAGCATCACTTGTTACTAGGGATATATATCATACCATCAGTTGTGTAGGTAATGAAATATTCATATGTAAAATTCTCCCTCTTAAGTGGTAATATTAAAAGAAACTGTCCTCATAAATGAAACAAATATGGAATAAATGGCATCGTACAGCACACAATATTTCCCACACGTTTAAGTTCCCCGTTGTCTACCATAATTTTTATTTAAGGATTTATCTCCAATTTGGAAATAACCACTACTTCAGCCTTTATTAACTCTTAAAACAATATTTTTCACTTTCTTCCACTAATCTATTAACGAGTTTTTGTAATGCCTCTTAACTATCTGTGATAGGAGCAGTATCATCCGTATAAAGTATATTTGATATAACTTTACCATTAACTTTTAGTCCTTCATTATCACTTATAACTTCTCTCACTAAGAATTCTGACTACATATAGTATCACACTCAAAGACAACCACACTTCAAATCCTGCTTGATGTGTAACTGGGAGTAATGCTTCTGTTTTTGTTCGTCCTCAAAGTAGATTATGAATTTCTTCCTCTTGGTCTTGATAGCAACGCATTTCGTTTCATCCATGCCTTTGTTGTTCCCGCAAAAGCTACACAAACTGTCACACTGCCTCACCACCACCACATGCGGGAAGAGCTCCAGGTCATTTCGCTTGTCAAACACCTGATCTCTTACATACACTTTCTTCCTGTATGGTTTACATTTCAACTTTTTCAATTGTTTTATTTGGCGAAGTATGACGCGCTCCTCAACGGGCCTGACAGACCTTTCATCCCGAGCTAACGTCTGGCCCACGTCGTTAGCTGACAAACTTCTCTCTGCGTCAACTTGAACATCCTTGACGTCATAACCTGCCGTTTTCTCCTGACTGTCGATAGTCATGGAGTTCATAACCACGACCACACAATCGATAAGCAATATTAACAACTGTTTCTTCATCACCACAATATATTTTTCAAATGACTTGGATTCTCTATCGTATCTTGGGGTAAAGAGCCTCAGTGTACAGTGGACGACTTTCCCTGCGTGAAGATCAGATCTGAGTGAGCCTCATAACTGCGTCGAGTGTATATACAGTACAGTAGGAGGGTAAGATGTGGACCAGGGGGGTGGGGGTGATGGAATGGCAGGTTTCCGATGGAGTGAGCTGCTAAACCTAATGTCAAACTTCTGATTCAAGGACTGATGGATATTCTCATTAGCGTCTACTTATTTACTACAGTTTAAAGTAATTATAAGAAGTCTGCTTACATCAGTCTTAAAGTTAGCGTGATATCCTTTCGTGGAAGTCTCTGTAAACTCCGCCCTAACCAGTGTTACCAAACACATCTTGGGAGAAAATTCTTGCCGCTTCCCTAAAGGATATACCACGATTGTCACCTTTACAGGATAATTACGAGTTTCTTGGTTACTACACACACACACGTCAACCCTGGCCGATTGACCTATTTACGATCGTTGTTAACTGTTGGGGCCAAGGCGAACGTTTAATAATTATCCATGAACACGATATAGCAGGTGTTGTTGTACTACTGTAAACCACAGGAAAAATGATCCGAAGGAATGCGTGTTTAATGTCCACAGTTATGAACTTGTCCGAGGTATCGACTGGAGATAATACAAGTACACCGAACGACCGTAATAATCCTGCGGCTACTTTTATCGAACCTCTAAATAGAAAATGTTCTATTCCAACACGTTAAAGATCCGACTCACTCATAACTAACTAGGAGGTTATGGTGGCCAAGTTGGAACATTTGACCCTTACTGGCACAAATCATCACATGACATTGCCCATCAGATATATCTATTATTACTTAGTTTAAGATGAAAGCAGGCCAAGGTTACAATGGTGGTTATAACAGAATGGGGGGGAAACACGGGGCAAT